AGACACTTTCCTAGATTTTAATGTAAGATTAAATTAACCTTGAGATTAATAAAAAGAGGAGATCAAGCATTTATCTAGATATCCACAATTCTAAAGTTTTCAGCTCAGAAGGGTTTACTTTTGCAGGTGGCACCACTTGCTATGCACATTGTTCATGTAAAACATGATGGTATGAAACACAGCATACTGTAGCAGCAGGATACTTTCAATAGTAATGGGCTGGAAAAGAAGCCTGGACAGGATCAGAGTACAATATATGACAAGGTTTCATATACTTTTATAGTTCATATCCGGTTCTTTATTTTAGCTGTTATATATATATATATATATATATATCTGAGTTTATATATATAGTACTGTGTGTATTATGATGCCCTACTCCATAATGGTTTCTCTAACGTGTATCTATCCAGATACAACGTACAGATTCTCTTGGTTATCAATGTCAACACACGGCTACAATAGTACATTTGAATTTCCGAGCCGGATCAACCTTTCCGGTCCCAGTTTGTACTGTATCGGCCAGACATGGGGTAAATAAAGCAGACACTCAATAGGACTAGCCGGTGCAACAAGGTTGACGCGGTGAGAGTCAGACTTGAATTTACCTTTACTAAAGATTCAGGGGTGTGACTGTGTGGGTTCTTTTAAAAAAGTAGCTTTTTCAAAGATGAATGAAAAATGAAAATCGAAAATTTGTCAAAATTAAAAGAACAACGACAATCTTTTAAATTATTAGTCAGAAAAGATTTTAAATGGGATCTACTACCTCCTTTCGTCATCGTTAATATCAATACAATGATGACGACCATGAACATGTAAACTAAGTATAGTTGGAATCGACAGCTTCTATTTGTTTAATTGTTAACTTGTTATATGAAAACTGCTTGTTATGGATCAAAGCGTTATTGATAAAAAGTCTTAATTGTTTTTATATATTCGCTATTTGGAGGGTCAGTTGAAATTACAAAGAAAGTCCTTTTAAACCGTATTATTGTTTATTAAAAACGATTATTTGATTTTTTTTCATCCAAACTCATTTTTCTAGTCTGATATTATAAAAGAAGTATGTGAACCAATCTTGAGGGAAGAAAGAATCTAATTTAAGACTGGACACCTTAATACTTCAATACTCTAATACAACAACAGTAAAAAATTGATTAATAGTGGGAGAAAAAAATCATTTTAAGGGATTGTCATCGAAATCCAAGAAGGTTAAAGAGATATTTATGTTTTCTTCTTGTAAACAGTTAAAAACAGTAGAGGACTACTAAGAAGTCCTAATGATACAATAGAAGAGATGATTAGGTAGAAAAGGACTACTAAGAAGTCCTAATGATACAATAGAAGAGGACTACTAAGAAGTCCTAATGATTAGGTAGAAAAGGACTACTAAGAAGTCCTAATGATTAGATAGAAGATAAGATCTGAAGATTGAACGACTTTCTTTCTTATTTTCTTATCCTCACTAATTTCCTTGTTCAAACATATTCTTTTATACAAGATATATATTCCTCTATTCTAAATTGATGGGAGAGCTCTTGAAAAGTAAAAAAAAAAACATTTTAAAATTATAGATTAAACATTTTTAGTCATATCAGATGTTTACGCGTTTTCCAAAGATATGGAGATAAAAAACGATTCATGATTTGGTTTTTGCTTCCCCAATCTTTTCCTTTATTTCTATATTATATATTTTTATCTTATTATCTTTATTATATACTAGCTGAAGGGCCCGGCGTTGTCCTTGAAAAAAATGAAATTTTTATCCTAAGACACGCTTCGGTTAATAATGAGTGTCCACAAAATTTTTTTTCCAGTCCAAGTGGTCAAGCCGTTTGGTTGGCTATACGCAACATATATACAAAAATCTTGTTTTATTATACAGATATTCTACCATTCCTATGAATTAAAGGAAAAATAAAGAAATATAAAGAAGAAATTGAACCATTTTTAAAGTATGGTTAGACAATTTTGGTCCTATCAGATGTTTTAGAGAAGTTTTTCAAAGATATTTAAAGCAAAATAATTGTGTTTATAGTTTGACAAAAATCATTTTCGAAATCATTTCCTCTTATATTAAATCTGAAAAACCAGGTGTGACAAAAGAAATATAAAAATATGTTAGCCCTGTTTGCCAAAAAAATATAAAATATGTTAGCCCTGTTCGCCAAAAAAAATAGAAAAATATGTTATCCCTGTTTGCCAAAAAAATATAAAATATGCTAGCCCTGTTCGCCAAAAATTAGTAAAATTTTTCAAAAACCACATTTTGTTGTTTTTCTATTTTTATTGAATAAAATATAAATTTTTAATAAATTCATGTATTTTTTTAAATTCTTTTCTTGTTATTCTAATTTATGATTATATTTCAAGTTTTCTCATATTTTTCATCTGTATCATTAAGAATAAATGCTAATATAAGCATTATAACATTTTTCTCTCCAATTTACATATAATCTTCATTATTTGGCTTAAAGAGCTCCCAACCCCGTAGAATAAAAAAATCATCTGTTTACATCATAATTTCATTCAACAGCTAAACCCTACATAGTTATAACTTATTTTAGAGGTTTTTATAAAGATATGAATACCGCAGCATGAATAACAAAATCCTCAAGAGCGTTTTATACTAACCTTTTTGTCATTTTTTTTTATCTTTAAAAACACATTGATGAATTCTATGATTTTTACAGTGCCGGGAAACCCGGAGAGCTCAATATCTGGCTGTCTGGTCCAGGTCCCTGAAAACTTTAAATTTATGCGGCGTATGATACGTTAAAAGTAAAAAAAAAATGAGGGATAGGTGAATATTCTTGTTAGGGTTCTGTGTAGGTCCGATCATGAGAGCTTAAGTAAACCTGGAGAATAGACAACAAAGCAATATATTATAAGAAGGTAAACAGCGCATAAATAAGAGTTACAATCTATGCTATAGCTTTCATCAAGTTTGTGTAGAAAATAAGATTTTAAATTACTGGAAAACGTTCAGCTGTTAACAATGCTATTTTTAAACACTGGTTTAAATTTATTCCATAGATTCGGAAAATAAAAAATAGGATGTGATTTTAAATACTGGTACTTTAATCGTGGAATTGCAAAGTCTTCGCCATTTCTTAGCATATATATAGTTCATTTAGAGGCACAAAAGTTCATGTAGGGGCACAATAGTTCATTTAAGGGGTACACTAGTTCACTTAGGGGCACAATGGTTCATTTAGGGGCACAATAGTTCATTTAGGGGCACACTAGTTCATTTAGGGACACAATAGTTCATTTAAGGATACGATAGATCATTTAGGGGCACAATATTTCATTTAGGGGCACGATAGTTCATTTAGAGGCACTGTATTTCATTTTGTGGTACAATAGTTTATTTAAGGGGCACAATAGATAATTTAGGGGCACAATAGTTCATTTAAGGGCACAATAGTTCATTTAGGGACACGCTATTTAATTATGTGATGGTACAATGGTTTATTTAAGGGGCGCAAAAGTTCATTTAGGCGCACACTTTTTTATTTAATGACACTGTATTTTTTGTATATGGTACAATATTTTTTTAAGGGGCACAATAGTTCATTTAGGGGCACAATAGTTCATTTAGGGGCACAATAGTTCATTTAGGGGCACAATGGTTCATTTAGGGGCACAATATTTCCTTTAGGGCACAATAGTTCATTCAGGGGCACAATAGTTCATCTAGGGGGACAAAAGTTCATTTATGGGCACTGTACTTCATTTAGGGGTACGTACAATAGTTTATTTAAGGGTACATAAGTTAATTTAGGGGCACCATAGTTCATTTAGGGGCACAATAGTTCATTTAGGGGCACAATAGTTAATTTAGGGACACTGTAGTTAATTAAGGGGTACAACGGTTCATTTAGGGGCACAACCATATTTCATTTAGGGACCCAATGGTTCATTTAGGGGCACCATATTTCATTTAGGGACCCAATGGTTCATTTAGGGGCACCATATTTCATTTAAGGGGTACACTAGTTCACTTAGGGGCACACTAGTTCATTTAGGGGTACAATAGTTTAATTAGGGGTGCAAGAAATCATCTATTGGCAAAATAGTTCATTTTTGGCACTGTATTTCATTTTGTGGTACATTAGTTTATTTAAGGGGCACACAAGTTTATTTAGGGACACAATAGATCATTTAGAGGCAAAATAGTTCCTTTAGGGGCACAATAGTTCATTTAGGGGCACAATAGTTTATAATTAGGGGCAAATTATATCATTATGTGGTACAATAGTTTATTTAAGGGGCACAAAAGTTCATTTAGGCGCACACTTTTTTATTTAATGACACTGTATTTTTTGTTTATGGTACAATATTTTTTTAAGGGGCACAATAGTACATCTAGGGGTACAAAATTTCGTTCCTTTACATTCTTTGTCCTCCCTAGCTCAACATTTAGGATACAATGTGGAGAATTGTTCTGATAAATATGTAAATATACGTGAATATTTTACCAACAGCTCAACCTAATATAAGGAATATTTATAGGAATATTTATATCAGGAAACTCCGAGAAGGGAATATTTAAATTGAAAATGGAGAATACAAAGCTAAAACGGTTCCAGGAATCAGAATGGAAAATAAGTAATCAAAATTGAATTTGTTTTTATGAAATTACAAAAAGTTTTTTTTTGAAAGTTTTCGTTCTTTGTCTCATAAAAGCTATCAAATCTGAAATTTCTTAGAAAAGTGTATAGTTTACTCAGTGTGTAAAAATCATTATTGAATCGATAATTCGAGGAAAAGATAAGAATTTACAGAAAAAATGTTTTTGTAAGAAATCTGACGTTAAATCTTTGACGGAAAAACTAAATTTATAATTAAAAGAAAAATTTAGAATTAAAAAAAGAAAAAAATTCTTGTTTGAATAAACAAAAGTGAAAAAAAACATTTCCATATTTATTTTTGAAATCTTCTTTTTGTTGACCTATAAAACTGTCATTATCTTTGTTTTCCATTTAGTTTCATCTTCTTCTTCGACTTAATTCATAAATATGGAATTTAAATCAATTTTTATCCTTTGTCTTGTTTTTGCTTCTAGCTTATCATCTCCTTTTACAAAAGGTAATTATTCAAATTTTCAAGGCTTACATTAAAAAATATCAATATGTGGTTAATTTTTATAATAATTAATGTGTACTGTTTATACATCATTTTTTAATAGCTTTTCAAAAATAGGAATCCAAGATCTGCTCTAACACTTAAAAACAAGTTGTGGACATTAAAAATTCTTTTTAATCACCCCATGCATTAACATTTTGTTAAAACATTTTTTCATTTTTTTTCATTTTTAATGGAAAAGGGTCCTTTTTTAATGTGAGCGTTGTTGTGTGTATGCCATTTTTAAGTTATGAAAAGTTAATAACTATAAAAAAACATGCCCTGATGTCGAATATAAAAAGTTTAGAATTATTTACCCGACATCTTCATCATCGGATCTATAAGTCGGTTTATATATTTCCTGGGACTCCCTTTCCCCAACCAGGATTGGGTTAATGGAATTCACGAAAGGTGTCGATCATCTTTGCGTAACATATAGAAATTCCGAAAACTAGATATTTTGAAATCGCTTTATTTAATATATATTTAGAATTGAATCGAACTGTAGCTGCTACTGATGTTGATTTATCCTGCCCTGCATATGGCCAAGATTGTATTTTCAATGATATAGAACGAGCCTATGATTCAGGGTGTGTAATATTATTTACTAGCTGAAGGGCCCGGCGTTGCCCGTGGGAAAAAAAATTTTTAGAACAAAAAATGTCGATTTTTTTAGTCGATAACACCCCACGACCACTAATGAGTGTCCACAACGAAAATTCAGCCCAATCGGTCCAGCCGTTTGGTCGGCTATGGCAACATATATATATACGAATTCGTTTTTTCAATTCGTTTGTTCCTTGTTCGTTAACGATCTTTTTGTTTGTTTTCGTTCAGTGCTCTAATTTGACCCAATATAAACGACCCATGCTAAATTTTGAATTTAGATTTGGCTCAAAAATTCCCAAATTTTTTGAGTGTTGTTTTTCTTTCAGAAACCACTTTTGTCTTGTCAATATAAATACTTCCCAGTAAATTTTAACATTTACAGGTGTAGTCTAATATAGTATGATGTATTATCAGAATATAATTTTTTAGAACCTGGCAGGAGTGTGCTTACCAGTGTAACCAACACAGGGTAATATCTTTTTTACAAAATTTGACTAATTGAAAAAAATTTTGTAAGATTTAAATTTTTTTCTTCATTTTGATCTTTTTGAGAAAACAAAAAAAAAACATTTTATAAATGTTTGGATTACATAAATTAATTCACTAATTTTTGTTTCTATCCGATGTTTCTTTGAAAGGGAATTTAAAAATCATTTGAAATTTGATCCTAAAATTTAATTTAGATTAAATTTAACATGTATGATGTATTGAATAAATGTATGAAGTGACTTAAGTGAAAAATTGAATAAAGGGTTTATGGGAAAATCAAAGATTTTTAAGCAAAAATATTTCTTTAAAGGAAGTGACCGGCAATGTCATGGTGGTTGAACTGAATATGTAGTATTGTGGACAAATTTGTTAGGATTCATTAGAGACATATAAATCGTTTCTACGATGTTAGACATTGATTTATTGACAAATTTCTTTTGAGAATTATGTTCCTAAACATCTAATAAGTTTACAATATAATTTTTACTTTATTTTTCGTCGTTGTCATTTAAAAAAACCGATTCTGAAAATGTACCAACTCAAATTCCTGATTTTAACGTCGATTATGCACTCAAACGCAGTAATTATACATCGTGGAAAAGTTTTATATATCTCAAATGAATACTAAAGAATTTGTCCACAACACTGCATACTCAGTTCAACCACCATACATTACCGGTCACTCCCTTTAAAGAGACTGTAAGCCTTATTTAAAGTAATCTTCCACGCGAAGATGACATAGTCCGATTCACAACAATGCCCTTGAAACCAGTTCAAAATACAAAATTAAAAAAAAAATTTTCATAGTTTTCTTCTTTTTAAAAGTTTTTTAAGCTAAAAAGATTAACACAACCAATTTAGGTTTATCTAAATTAATATATTTGAACGTTGATTGTGAATACCACCGATTTGAGGACAAAAAATTAATTTTTAGACCTGTGTATTTTGGTCTTGGAGAACTCAGGACTCCGCTATAAACCCCTACGGTTGCTGGCTGAAGGTAGAGTTTTCAAACCAAGTATTTTTATCTTTGTAATCCACACTTAAATTAATCTGGTTCTCATTGATACAGATATGTTTACATCGAGAACCATAAACCTCTTGGAGTAGACAGACGACTTTAAGAATTAGTTAAAAAACTTTAAATAGTCCATATGAGACACAAAGATTGTGTATTGTAAACAGACCCATTTAATTTAATAACCGAATTAAAAAGCAAAATTATTTTCTTTGTTTAAACACAAAATAGGTATTTCTTTAATGTCAACCTATCAACATAACATGCCAACATTTTTCTTTATAAGCTTGTTTCTGAGAAAAAATGATATAAAAACATTTTGTTATTTTTTAGTGAAACAAATTACTACAATTGCTGTCCTCGCATGAAATATTGCCGTACCACATATTAAATTTTTATCCTAAAAACTTCTAAAATGATTCAAATGTTATTTTACCTAAAAAACAACAATATCTCCCTAGTTGCTTCTCAGATATAGATTAGGAATTTTCAACATACAAAGAAATATAATATATAATGCACGATGCTTCATGCCTTGCAGCAATCTTTTATACAGCAAGTATTTGATTAAATCTTTAATTATTATCATTCTATATTTTAATGTTAATTTTAAAAAAATTCTGTAAATAATACTGGATGATAGCAGCTGCAAATATTTTGTCATTTCTGTTTTTCTTGACCTCCATTTTCTCCTTTTTTATGACCTCCATTTTCTTCTTTTCTTGACCTCCATTTTCTCCTTTTTCTTGACCTCCATTTTCTCCTTTTCTTGACTTTGATGTTCTCATTTTCTTGACCTCCATTTTCTCGTTTTTCTTAACCTCCATTTTCTCCTTTTTCTTGACCTCCATTTTCTCCTTTTTCTTGACCTCCATTTTCTCCTTTTTCTTGACCTCCATTTTCTCCTTTTTCTTGACCTCCATTTTCTCCTTTTCTTGACCTCCATTTTCACCTTTTCTTGATCTCCATTTTCTCCTTTTTTTGATCTCCTTTTTATCCTTTTTCTTGACCTCCATTTTCTCCTTTTTCTTGATCTCCATTTTCTCCTTTTTCTTGACCTCCATTTTCTCCTTTTTCTTGACCTCCATTTTCTCCTTTTTATTGACCTCCATTTTCTCCTTTTCTTGACCTCCATTTTCTCCTTTTTCGTGCATCTTCCATGATTATGATTATAGTTATTGTTTTTAGTCTGCCTGTCCTCTGATCCTAGCTGACCCCGCTCTCATATCGGGACACTTTGACTGTTATTAATCAGACGAAGAACCATAACTTATTCCATTTTATTTTTGGTACCACTGCATGATCAATATTAGAAGAATTGTATCATTTTGGTCTTAACATTGAACTGCCTGAAACATTTAGGAAATTGATTTTTTTTAAAATTATTTGTCACAAATTTGCATAAACTTTACAATCATTTCACAATTTTTCGGTAGTTTGAATTTACATACAAAATGTTAGATTTCTTCTAACGACGCGACTAACCTTATCCTCTGGTGGGCGCAAAACTATATAATGGAATGTCGACTGGAAATTCATTTACTACATATATTTAATGTTGGTATTTAATATTTATTATATATTTAGAAACTTGAAAATAAAATTACCAACATAAATGGTCATTTGGAAAATAAATGTTTTTTCCCTTAAACAGTTTTTTAACGAAAAAATAGCGAATGAAATTATTATGGGTAAATAAAGTTAAGCTGGAATTTATCCTAAAAAGCTAGTTTAACCATGATGTAAAAAACTCCCCCCCCCCGCATTCAGAACGATATTTTCCACACACATAATCAGCTGAACATTCTGTGATATCTGTGATTATGAAATATGATTCTTTTTATGATAAAACAAAAACTTAAAACCTTGAGTATGATGATTAGTGATAAAAAATGTGAAAAAATAGTCAGAGAAAATTATTTTAAAGTGCGCTTAACAAATGTTTAATAAAATAAATGTTCATGAAAATGAAACTCTCTGTATCCAAGTCTAGTTTTCACCGGAAATAAAAGTTTAAAATGTAAAAGAAAATTGTAATTGTAGAATTCCTAAGAGAGCAGTTAACTATGATAATATGTGTGTATATAGAAGACATCTGTCCCAGGCAGTTGATTTATTCGTGTTTTAAAGAATTTGAGCGGCGGTTTAAATTTAAGCCGCGGTTTAAATATGGTTGGTTCCACTAAAAATTGTATCAAATGTTTCAAGATTTAAGCCGGCGCTGAATTTAAACCGGGCTTTGGCGGATTTAAACCGCGGCACAAATTCTTTAAATTCCATCTCAGGTCCCCCACTTATTAATTGTTTACGAGAAGATAAGATAAGTATTCATGAAATTAAAGTTGAAATGTACTTTTGTAGTTAAGCTTCATACAAATATTTGTTATACACAGGGTGTCCCAATCAATAATTAAGTGAAAAATTCTATATTAAAAGCTTTAAGAAGTACAGACTAATTTTATACTTTCTTTGTCATGGCATTAAATATAATAAATCAAAGACGACTTTCAAGTCGTCTCTCATTCCCATGTTTATTGGGACACCCTAGGTTTATGGTAACAAAATTGGGTCTATTGTGTTGCAGTTTTAAGAATAAGTTTGTAATTTGGTCACTAGGTGTCTCTGTTTAAATCTTGAATGCTAGAGTAATGAAGCAAAGTAATGAACTTAGGAAAATTTCGTCTAATCTTTAAAATAAAAGATTTGAATTCCCCTCCTATTGATTTTATCAACAATGTCTCAAAACTAAATAAAGATTTTCGTAGAAATCTTTACTGAAGTGATTCCAATTTATGGGTTATATAGGATATTATTCTTATATGTTGCAGAGCTTCAATGAAAATCAACTGTAAGGAAAATTTATGTGGTTTTCCTTTAATTAAAGGGAAACATTTGGATTAATAAAAACTAGAATTTTCAGGCCCAATGAGATTTCATATTCATAACTCCCGGCCCAACTAAAAACTTCGTGCTTTCTTCGCTAAATCATAAAACAAACCATTTTAAGAGCACATTTATCGCAGCAGACTTAATTTTAACTGGGGATCATCATATCCACAGAGTATCATATGTCGTCTTTACAGTCTCATACTTTATGGGTCACCCTGTAACAGAATGATACATTCTTGTTCCTGTTTTGAAAATGACAAATTTTGATCGACATCGAATTTTTTTGAACGTTATTGATTCTTGAATATCTTTATTAAATCAATGCCGCATAGGACCCAGGGAAGCTTATTTTTGAGTCCATAAACGACTAATGAAAATAAAATCTTTGAATTTTTTATAATATTGTCATAATCGAATATTTATGCACAATTTTAGCATGGAATTAAAGACACCATCAAAATTTCAAAGAGGGATGTGAAACGTGATGGATGCCTGGTTGTACGTTTACATGGCTTTACCTCATTGACCTAAATCTAAGAGGCAAAGGAGGAAGGGGCAATAGAGGGCTATGGTTTGGGTAAAAGGGGAAAAAAAGAATAGGGATCAGGCCAGACAGGAGAATTAAGATAGAGCTAGGATAGGGTTTAGTATAGAAAGGTCCGAGGTTGGGGGGTGGGAAGCAAGGATAAAGTTTAGGTAAAGGTAGGACGGGATGGGGGATGAAAGGTTTT